CGCGGCCGCCCGTAGAGGCTCTTCTGGATCTTCTTGAGGCCCAGGTGGGCGATTTCTAGGATGTTGAGGAACAGGGAGACCGTGGCAATGCTGTTCATGAAAACCATAAAGATGGTCTTCTCTGTGGGTCGGGACACAAAACAGTCCACCGTGTTAGGGCAAGGGGGCCGAGTGCATTTGTAAAGGGGGGACATGTGAAACCCGTATAAAAGATACTGACCTATCATAAAGCCCACTTCAACCACCGACCGGGTCAGGATATGTAGGACATAGGTGCGCAGCAGGGACCCTCTCAGGGGTGCCTTATTCACTTTCTTCTGTTCCTCCAGCTTACGCAGTTCCCTCTCCACTCTCTTGTGTTCCTCGGGCATGGGCTCCAGATCTTCTAGCTGAGCCCGCAGGTGGGCTTTCCTCTTCTGTCGCTCTTTCTCAAGAGCCCTTAACCTGTAGAGCGCGTGGCCCATGTAAACTAGCGACGGAGAAGAGACAAATATGATCTGCAGTACCCAGTATCTGATCAAAGAGATGGGGAAGGCTTTGTCATAACAGACATTGCTGCAGCCAGGTTGCTCCGTGTTGCAGATGAACTCGGACTGCTCGTCGTCCCAGACGTCTTCGGCAGCCACTCCCAGCACCAGCATCCGGAATATGAACAGGATTGTGAGCCAGATTTTGCCAACGATGGTGGAGTGGATGTGCACTTCTTCAAGGACGCTGCCCAACAGGTTCCAGTCCCCCATGGTCAGAAGTTCATATCTGAAATACAAAAAATCGTGTTATTTTAATACAATACTAGGTTTCTTTTGGAAATGGCCCTTTTTAGTACTTTTTAAAAATAATGATCTTTCATATGCGTTCTTCTGATAGCAGGAGAGCTCTTAGAAGTTCACCATTATTTTCTACTTAATGGGTCTTTAAATGAATGCAGACTTCATGATTACTGGTGAAAGATGCAAATGTGAGATTATTTTAAGCTTAAGAGAGATTGATTTCAGCTGTAAGCCACAGTACTTCTTAACTGCCTACAGTTTTACACTATTTTCTTCCCGCTAGGAAAGAAGACAATTTTTTTTCACTTTGCAAATCCTTCGCCAACTATAGTTTAATTCTACACCCACCCCATTCCACTGTCTGTGGCTTTGCCATAGTTTTGGGCGAAAAACAACTAGAATAATATATTATGCTCATGGCTTTCATTTGTTTGAAAAAGTTTTGAGAAGTATCCTATAACTGTGACAGAAAAATGTTTCATTTTGTGCCTCAAGGTAGTAGCATTATTAGTGCCATCCATCCAATATTTTCCCATCTACCAGGGTAACAACCCACAAGTTTCTCGCTTGGATTCCTAAAACTGCAAATGCATCGCTAATTTACACATAGCTGTACATGTATAAATAGTCCCAGTTCTAGGATAATGTTGATAAACTAAGAGTGCTCCTAGGATTAATATCTTGAATTTTATGCATTAAAGTCTTACTGAATCACCAGGACTTTATCTTAACTATAAATTGCAACATATGAGATAAATAAAACAGGGATTACATAATGGAGTGACGTGGAGGTTTTTAGCTGTGTGAGATAATCTTTTTAACTACCTCTTTGCCAGAAGCTCTTTGATTCGCCAGCAAATTGATCTACGTTCTGCTGCAAGATGCTTGATTTCCAAGCAGCTTCTCTGGAAACTATTCAGGAGCTTCAGGTAATGTGGGGAATTGAAATGTAAGGTATTTGTCTGTTTATTTGTGAATGCACCGCACACTTGGTGTTGTCTCCCTCGAACTTTTTCTGCTAACGTGGTAATAAAATATTGAAAGCAACTGGGATCATATCTACCTTAGGGTTCACACCTAAATTTTTTATGCCACTGTACTTTCAAATCTTCCCAAATTCCACTAAACCTTTAGTAAAGTGCAATTTCTAAGCTTTTTAGGAGTGGCTGGTTGCAGTACCCAATACCTTACACAATTTTAACTGATAGCACAGCTGGGTGATATCACCAATATCAATGTAGCTTGGTTACGGTTTATGATATGATCCCATGTAGTATGATTCTGCTTGGAGGCTGTATTTATCCACACTGCAAGTAAAGATTTTCAATTGTAACCAACAGCGCAGTCATTCTCTGCATAGGCATCCTACAGACTATTACATCTCTGGGCTTTGGTTTTTCTCTGCAAATTTGAATTTTCACGATGAACTTCCCTTTTGACACAGGTGGAGGAAACCTAGCCAGTCAAGCAATTTCTTAGGTGCTGTGAGGCACCTGGAATATCTTCTTTCCCCACTCCTTTCCTCCCATGTATATCATTGAAATAAGATACATGAAAAAAGAGTCAGCAACAATTATTGTAGTCCATTTTCCTCATTTTTAAGGAAAAATGTCAGATCTTTCTTCTGACTTCACATGGATTTTATTCAGAGCAGGTATCAAACTGTTGCAATGTCACAGGTTGGGTGGGTGTAGAGATGTTCATATGTTGAAGTGTTTACTAGAGAATGTTACATTTCAAGCTAACAACGTTGAACCTGTTTTTCCAAGCTTGGAAGTGCTGATACAGAATAGTTCACCTTCAGTAAAGTGAGAAATCGAGATTTACAGAGAGCAAGCTCCCAAACCCAGAGTACTCAAGAGGCCAAGTACGAGCGGGTGGCACTTGCTGATTGCTCTGTACCACCTCCCCTGAAAGGTGACTGAATGATGGCAACGCAACAGTTAAGCGAAGGAGCTTTGGGTACATTTGCTGCCTTGCGGATGACTGGTCCCTCACTGAAATTGATAGACTCCGCAAAAAACCCCAAGTGAGATGCTAAAAAGTAAATGAAGGAATAAAAGGGAAAGGAGACAAGTTTTAATCCCAAAGATGGAACGATAGTGTTCGTCTAGCAGTAGGAATTACCGTTGCCCGTTTTGGAACAGAAAGTGAATGCAACCATTCGGGGTAAGAGGACAAGAAGAAGATTACAAACATATCACTCTGGCTGTATAGATGTGCTTGTTTCTGAAGTTGTTTCTACCAGTATTTCAACAACTCTATCCTCGCCTTTCCTTTATAACAGCCGCCAGGGGAGAGTTATTATAGGAGTGGTCTAATTCACTCTCTAAGTGAGCTTATTATACCAAGACACTTTCCCTCAAATCTGCACTGGTAGAACTGCAGTATGAATATTGACATGGTGAACATTGTGTATAAAGTAAAGAAGTTAGTCTAGAGCTGCGAAAGCAGCCTACAACCTAGAGCCTACAAGCTCTACAACCTTGTCATAGCAATGTGCTTCCAATTTTTTCAGCTTTCCCTTCCCTGGTTTTATTTGAGCTCTGTGTAACAGAGTAATTTCAGTTTACTGTAAGATTGTAATCTCAAATATTGATGATAGAATTATTTCCAGTATACTATGTACTAGAAATTCTAGTATTCTAGTATACTAGCCTAGTATAGTAGAAATAAACCATTTTTAGTATAGATAGTACATACCTGAGACATTGCTTATTATACCATCTGACTACCTTTGTGTCTGTCCAAATATTTTTGTATGGTTATTTCAAACAATAAAAATTCATGCATGTAATCAGTTAGAACCATTTCTCTCGGAGGAAGTTTCTTTATTTCTTGTTTTTATTACTTCTTTATTTTAAAGTTCATTTGATCATTTGCCACTATTCAAATCACTTCTATATTAAATCTATGCCAGGTTTTCATCAGCTGTGATTCGAAAAGCCAGAGTTAAATCTTAAATTTCTTGTCAGAAGAAGTTAAATGCTAAGATGCAAATACTCCTGGGTTTAACTCGCATTGCTTCAAGTCTGACAGGGACCTGCCTGCTCCGTACTGCCCTAGGAAGAATTATTTTACTGCCGCTTACCTTAGGAGAAAGCCCCTGGTTAGTCTATCTTAGAGCATTGCAGAAGGAGCACGCAGCGCTGCTGGTTTCTATAGCTCAGAGACCTTCCTTTGACAGTGCTAGGACATCTGGTTTTTTTCCAAGAGCCAAAGCATAGACGTGGTATGCTGAGCGGACTTCTCGGTTCTTTGTAGCTGGATGCCAAGATCACTCAGTCTAAACTATCCGTGCACGGTTTAGAAATCATCAGATGATAGGATGGTGCCCCTAGCCAAAATTATCATGCAATTATTTCAGTCAGTGGCATCTAACAAAGCCATTCCCTCAAGGCTCGATCTGTACAGCAATAGTTTGCAATGTCCCTATGCCTTGTTTTAGTCAGTTCTTCAAATATTATGCCTCCACCCAGCTCCCAAATGAAATTTTATTTTGTAAAATGGCTAACTAGGCACCCTTTACAGTACAATAGGTTCTTACATTTTCTTTACATTCCATTAGTTTCGCTTTGAATCAATGCTCAAGGATCGATCGGTCATGTCCGATTTCATACTCTGTTGCCTGGTGAGTTAATTTAGGATGCGTTAAACTGAGTCTTTGAAAATGGAGGCCGCAGGAACCGAGCCTCAAGTCTTTAGTTAGAAACACAGGCTTTCGGCTCAGTAACCCTCTTCAGCTGGGTTAAAGAGCCACTCTCAAGCCAATTCAGAATTGGTACCTGTGAGAAACAAGGTCTAAAAAGGGAAGGTGAGTTGCCAAAATGGGGTTTATTGAGAAATCAGGGCCACCAGAGCTGAGGTTCTGATACTAAGAGCTTCTGCTGCCTAGTCCTGCCTAGGCCTAAATTTTATGGAAATCCCAAATACCCATTTTTTTTTCTCTCTTGCTCCAGAACTTCTGGCCCTTTTCTTCCATCCTACAAGGCGTGTGACTGATTTCCACTTCAGCCTCTTCTCCCTAAAGGTATCCCCACTAACCAGTGGCCAGTTCTCAAAAGACACTAGCCCCACCTCTTCTTTGGGATTATCTCACATTTGTGTACCAGCGCATCCTTCTCTATCGCACAAGCTGTACTCGTCTCCCTGAAAGTCCTGTTTAAATATGCCTTCAGAGCCTTGCCCTGCAGCAGATGAGGTGGCTACAGCATCTTTCCTCTAGCCTCAGTCTGATGCAGCAGATGTATGGTTTATGCATACGTTACAAATGCTTTAGGGGCAGTAGCGCTACACTTTCTGCTCCCGAGAGATGTGTTAGTATTCATCCAAACCACCCAGACCTCCACAACCCTTTCTCATCCATACGCTCTCACACTCTCTCTCAAGCCCATGTACTCTCATGTACCTGTCACTGGCATTTTATTTTCATGCCTCTTCTTTCCAGATTCGGTCACAAAGTCCCTGAGGCTTTACCTTGCCGCTTCAGTTGTCTCGGAGCTTTGACTCAGGCCTGGGTGCCCTGTGCTGCCTCACCAGAAGGCGTTGACCCGGCATCTCCAGTGGCTTCCACAGCTCCCAGGTGTTTCTCAGGAGCACCCTCTTCAGCTCTGCTCACTGTGAAAACTTGAGAGCTGGGCAAGAGCTGCAGCACCTGTGATTTGTTCATCCTGTCGGAGAACGCGCTTTGTCGCTCACTGCAGAAGCAGCTTGTTCTTGGCCCAGCACATTTCTGTCCCACCTCTTCTCCCCCTCAGCAGGTCACAGCACCAGAACCACAGGCTGCCTACCTCGCTCTGCCCTCAGAGTAACCTGGTTTACGGTTTTGGTTTTCTTGGGGGACAGGGGAGGGGACAGTAGGCTGCTTAGGGACAATTTGCCGTGTTTCTGCTTTAGCAGCGGAATAATTCGTGTTGTTAAAGGGCTGCTCATGCAAGCTTGTTAATGGACGGTACAATTGTATGTGGAAGGGAAGCAGGGCCGGGGCATGGGGGTGGTGGGAGGAATTGGGAACAAGAACAGGAGCGCGGTGTAGTCCTTTGCATTTGGAGATGAGCAAGAATCTGTGGTGGCTGAGGACACTTCCTTGCTATAAGCATCTGCCATAGGTGAAATCAGCTTACACTGTGAATGCTAACAGGCAGCGTGTGTGTGTGTGTGTGTGGGTTGGGGGGGGGCAGGGATATCCTGGAGATCAGAGAGATGGGACCTTGGCCAGTGACACCTGAGATGGGTAACGATGGGTGAGCAGCGGCACAGCAGGAACCAGCACAACTTCATGCCTGACCTTCCCAGACCAGCAGCGACCTTCCCGCTGGGAAGTGGAGACCCAGGGAACGTAGTGCTGGGGCAGGGGTTGGAGACAACCAAGCAGGGTAGAAGCTCTGATCTTGTTGGTTCTTCAGTAAACCCCAGCATCCAAATCCAGAACGGGGTGTTTACTCTGTCTTGCCTGTGACAGCACCTAAATCATAAGTGGCAGCGATTACAAAGTAAGTTCTCAAAATATACCTCAAAATATTAGGTCCAAATACACCTTTCATAGCATTGCAGCTTTTGATATTCTCGCCAGGAATTCAGATTTAAAAACCAGAAAAGGATATATGTGCGATCTAATTGTAATCTTCATATAACACAGGCAGTAGTATTTCCTTGTACTAGTATATTACTATTCTGACGTTCAAAACAGCTAACATTTACAGGGTCAAAACCACTTCAAAGAGTACATGCTTTCTGCCGTCTCATCGAACCCATCATAAAACTCTGAGGCCAATGCATGTGGAAGAGCGAGCTGGACAACAGGCTGTGACTGAGGCAATTCAGGTACAGGCATACTGACATGCCAGGATGAGAGTGCAGAATTTTACCCGCCTTTAGCCAAAACCACTCCATGTACAGCATAACCCGACTGGTCAGAAAACCCTTGGTTCACTAAAAAAGTCACCTCACTTGAACTTGCAGATTGTTCCATTTTACTAGAGACGATCATTACCGGTACTAGACTTGCTCCTCCTTTCACAGGAAGACGAAGGCTACCTTACCTTTACAATATGAAACAAAGCAGGCCAGGGACGTCTTTGCAGCCCTCAGCACTGGCACAGCTACACCCTTGGATACCCACACCAGGATGCCCACATCCAAACTGCCTACTGAGACGTGCCCCTGCTCCACACTGCTGTCTAAACTGTGTCGAGGATAGCTGCACAGTTTTGGACTGGGCTAATCATCAAAGACCACACTAATTAATTCAATAATATGGACAACTATGTTCCAGTTCGCAGATTCAAACCATGGGCCTCTTTAGTTTAACACGAGCTGTGGAACTTCATTTCTGTTGAAGTATTTCTCTGTTTATTTTATTCCCTGTATTATCTCTTGTAACTCAGATGGGTTTGCTTTTGGTGGCACGGCACATACTTTAAAACTCTGATGGGAGAGGATGTGCCAGCCACCACTGAAACTTTATCCATCTTTCACAGCAAAGCCATCTTTGCTCCTGAAACCCCTCTTGATTCATTTCATAGATTCTTCTAAGGAATCCTTAAACCTGTTTCTTGGCATGCTTTAGTACTGCTGCCTCCCTTCATGAAGACAAATTGCTAAAGATTATTCTGCAGCTGGTTTTAGAGTGAGGACAATTAGAGGAAAGACTTATTGTATATAGCTATGGGTTGCTGGATTGACACCTAAGAGAAATGCCTTTAAGCCAGTCAACTATTAAATGTAGACAGTTAGCTGGCAACAGACTGTGCCTTAGAGAGAATCCCTCAAAATTCAATACCCAATGCTCTAGGATTTCACTACTATGCACATCTCCATAAACCCTGCTCTCTGAATTTCCGCTTTGGAAAATTTTCCAATACCCATGTCCATTAAGAGTTTTTAAACTGCATCCTGTGAAAATACGTGTGTTGGATAGAAGCAGACCTATTCCTCAATAGCGAATTGGAGTAAGACTCTCAAAGGGCTGCCAGCTATATATATATACTCTTCCAACGAAAAGCCTTGGATACAAAAAGGTCTTTCTCCTTTGTAATGTTCCACGCAACACTGACCCACTGTTCCTAGAAAAAAGAGGAAAGTTGTAGGTTCTAATTGTGGTTTAAAGGTTTTATGTAGTTTGTGAAATTGTCCAATTTCTGATCCAGTCATGCCCACGAAGAAATAAGCAGTATGTATTTGGAGCAGTAATTGCATCAGAGCAGCATCTGATTACTTCCATGTTTATTGGCCAGAACGTCAACATAGCTACTCATTTATATAAACTAACAGAAGTCAATTTTAATGCTGCTTCACAGCCTTTGTAGTTGTCAAGCCATTAGCCAACAGTTCTAGAAAATGTTTTCATTTACCTGAGGTTTCACAAATAAGACTGTAGACTTACATACAGTACATTTTGCATATACGTATCAAAATTCTTGTTGGAGAAATAAATTACAAACAATGGTACAAAACCACTCCAAGCCAACCTTTGTTCAACACGAACATACATGTGTGAATTTTAGTTTTATTTTTTGCGTTACTCTTACAGTAAGCAAACTATTTAGTTTATACAAAATAAACCTGGAGTTTTATATAGTTAAAAAAATCATCTTTGGCTAAACAAAGCTCTCTCTATTTTTATACATATATTTATATATATACACACATCAGATATTTTACATGACCATGTAGGAACCTGTACACATACTTACAATAGACAGAACATTAAAAAAAAGTTTCATAATTTACAAAAAAAGGAATCCAAGTCAGATCCAAAACAGTCAAACCCTGCCCCCCCATCACCTGTACAGATAAGAAAGTAAATAAACACAGACAAGGAATAAACAACTTCGTAATAAAATACTGCCTGCTTTTTCAAGACAGAGAGGAAGCACTTAAGTGGAGAGAAGCTACTTCCCTCAGTGCCTTCAGTACTGTGCACGTTTTGATCACTAGGGATATGGTTAAAAGAATACTCTTAGTAGAGTCTGATTTTTCCACAAACATGAACGCTACTCTGCAAACTGACTATTCTGAGAACAGATTCAGTTAGATTTAAATCTCCAACAATTGTCACAAATGTTTGTTAAGAATAAGCATGGGTAGGTATACCAATCCCCCACTGAAATCACTAGGCGCTGCTGGCATAGCGTGGAAGATGACGCTTGATCATCAAAAGCAAACGCTGTAGAAGCAAGCACGTAAGATGGAAGACTGCCAGAACTGACATCATCGCCTACTCAAGTCATTCCTTGTAACAGTTTCCAGAGCACTGCCTAAAACGAGGACGATCCCCTGTTCGGCAGCACGACAATCCATTCCACAGGTCACGTTTACAATACTCCAAAGGTGCCAGTGGCACCATCACTGACAAATTATCTGATGGTTTATTAGAATGAGATGTCTGTCCCACTAGTTGGGGAGGGAACAAAAAACCATTACGCTGAAACTGAAGAAGCGGTCATTGGATTCTGAAAAAAAAGCCAGTTTAATCCGAGTTGAAAGGCAGTGCACTTAGGTGGGGCTCTTAAATGAAGTCTAACTAAACTCAGCAGATGTTCTGACTGAATAAAGACTACAGCAATTCTGATCCTCAATAAAGAATAAAATCTCAAACATCAATGAATTCATAATACAAAAACCTGTGCAACTTCCAGGAATGCTTCTTAGGGGGAATAAAAAAACCCCCAAAACCCAACTTCTTAGAAATTTGGGATAAATCAGCAATATATGAGGTGTGTGTGTATACATGTATACGCACACACACACTTTTAGTATGTACTAGTAAAACTGGAAGCAGTTATAAGAGTTCTTTAAAATAGAACATAATGAATTTCTAATGTACTAAACAACTTGTAAAGATAGATACAATTGCTGTCAAAACATGCCAAGTTGACCAGCTTTTGAAACTGCTTGTTTTTACAGAAAAGTTTTTCTCCCAGTTAGTAAGTATAAAGTTATATTTTATAAAACTGTAAAGGTCTGTTTCTAAATTAATTTTAAAAAGAAAAATCACTTGTCATTTTTTTTTTTTTTAACAAAACAGAATGTTCATTATGTTGAAGACCTAACTTAAGTACCTTTTCCAGATGTAATTTGGAGCAGAAAAACATATTAGCCTTTTCCAAAGGAAAAAAAAAAAAAAAAAAATCCAATACATTTTTCATGGAAAAAAAAAAAAACCTATTCAAATTCACTACTAAGTCTTTTTAAATATCATCAGAACTGCAAAACGTTTTTAACTGCAAGACAGTTCTTTGTAAATGAACACTCACTGCAGCATTTCACAATTTAAAATAAAGTGAAAAACTGGTCATTGCATTAATGACTGGCTTCACTCTCTCACAGAGGTTGGAACTCATTTTATTTGACTTCAAAAATTGGAAAGTTAGGGGTCTAGACTAGACAATTGGCTTCGATTTTCTCCATTGTCAATGACGACAGATGGGCACCCTCAAAGAAAAATTCATTCATCTCTGTTGAACACTGGAGTCCTTAAGAAATGGCTTAGATAATGTGCTTGAAGTTGAAGACAAACCCTACACTCAGTGCCAGATTCTCTCATTGAAACCCACTATGAGCAACTGACAAAGAAGCAAGAACCACCTATTCCTTACCATCAGAATCCTATTACTAGATGAGCAGGTTTTGGAATTACTGCTATCATTGCCCTACCTTACTTTAAAAGAAAAAAGGCCTAACTTCTTAAAATATGTTTCAAGGTAACCAAGGTGACGTACCTGTCATTTTCCAGGATTATCTACCAACTGGATTCCAAAGCACTTTCACTTCTTAAAATCATAGTTCAACATTACCATATGCAGTACTTCTGACAAGTTAAGCAAGAGCCACCATTTTCACTTGACTGCACGCCCTTGTCTTTGCTTATAGAACGCATGTAACCAACAGGAGACGTCACCCCCTTGAAACGATACTGCTCCATTTGTATGTGCACATTCTTTCCTAGCCAGTTTGTTTGTAAAGTTCCCTCTGTGTTATTGCGATAAAGCACTTCAGAGGAAACATGGGCAGGGAAGTAAATAGTTAACAGTGCATCAGAGTTACCAAACTCGGTGTTCTGGCTTGGATACCTCCCACTAATCCCACCATATGAGTGCAGTGGTTGTAGCCCATCGTTGCTGGTAACAGCTAAACCCTGTAACCACGAAGCAACTTGGTGGCAAGTTTACTTGCACTTGGATTTCTTGAACAGCTTCATTAACTGCTTGAATCTTTCTGAAACCTAATGGAGGACAAAAAAAGACACATCATTAAGGCCACAGATTTCCATACCTACCAAGACAGACTGATCCGACAGCATAAAGTTTTTAAAAAAAGACCACTATTTTGTTTTTTATTTGCTTCCAGTAAATTTTAGAGGGAGAATTTTAGGAGCACCGTTAACAGGTTAATTGGATGTGGGAAGTCTTCCTATACCTTTGACACGTGAAATAGCCTCCAGGTTAATCACAGAGAGCTAGAGCCAACTACTGGTTTAACACAGGTTTCCTTACAACAAGGAGGAAAAAAATGAAGGCTTCAGGTCAATTAGACTTGAATTTTGCCAGGTATAACTGTGAGCAAGATTCAAATGTAAGGACAAAAGCTTATTCTGTACTCCACAAAAAGCACACTTTATTGGTTATTTTCTACCTTCTTGTACAACTGGTGCTTCAGGTATTTATGGCTCATCGTGGAGTAATCTGCCTACTAGCGATTTTACAAAACTGGTCTGTAGTTGAGAGTCAAACATCTTTTTGTTGAGCATAGCTACAGCTTACGCAGTGACCTCATTCAATTGTAAGTTAGTATTTCTTATCACTACATGCATATTGCTATAGCATATCTACCATCCACCAAACAGCTAACTGGGAAGAGTGGCACAAATGCACAGATAACTGTTTTATCCAACCATCCACCCCAACAGCTTCTAAACCCCGCAAAGACTCTGTAACCATACAACACAACATCCTAAAAGCCAAATCCCAAGCACGCAGGATTTCCTAACTTATTCAAATGGGTGTTTCTCCCTTTTTAGATTGGCAGGATAGAGATCAAGATAGCAATTCAAGACAAGTACAAAGTTATATGCAAACCTCTGAAAATGTTCTACATCAACTTGATGTCTGTCTTTTGAAGTTTCTTAATTAAAAAGTGAAAGAAAAAAGGAAAAACATTTTCATGAAAAATGTCCTTTCTGCAAAATCCTGGTATTTTTTTTCCAGCTCTAATTTTAATCCTTTTCTGATTTATTAAATGTGTGCAAAGGCTTTGGGCCTCTCCAAATTACCTTTCTTTATCTAAGTGCTGATCCAACAAAGGAAACAATCCTGTTGTCCCTGGCTTATGATTGGACACAGCAGTTTCAAGGTACCAATCAAAGAGGTACTGAAGAATCCCTGGACCATAATGTCCCTATAATGTGTATTTTAAAAAAGTAACAACTGGGAGAACCTAAGGTTCATTTTTCAAGAACTTCCCAACAAAAGACATGAGGAAAAAACAACTCCAAATTAGCAGAAAATCTCCAAAGGTTTTTGTTCAACTGCAATCATAAATGTAGCAACATAATTGTTATCAAATGTAAGAATGATAACACCTACCTGATTTGGGCTTTTGTTCAGCCTAGTGGCTAAGGAAACAAAGGTTTTGCTTGATGGTCCTTTTCTCTGACATTCCAGTAGAATTTCTCGGTCATCATTTCTATAGCAAAAATGCGTTTTTAAACTATTAATACATATGTATGTGTACATGCACAAAACCAAAAAAAAAATACGTACAGGCATATATAAAATTCTGAGTATTTCCATACTACGGAACATGAGTTCAAACAGCAGCAATGAACTTACGGAGGATCCTCCCTTCTACCAGCACAGAGTAACAGAGTCAGTACAAACAAGCAGTAGTAGAGATTATGCTACCCTATCAGGAAGGGCAGGATTATTACAACAGAGTTAGCCCAAAACCAAAGTCATCAAAAAGAGTTTTAAGCTTCTAAAGCAGACATTTAAACTTGAATTGAAAAGAACTCATAAATTCAACAGGGGCCAGTAGTTCTAGGCAGACTTGCCTCAGTTTGCACAGCTAGGCAGCGGCTTTCACCTAAGGCCCCGCTGACGTTCAAAGATTAAAGGAAGAGGTGTCTGACTTCTGTAAGCGGCCTAATAGAACAAACATACTCGGAGCACATCTACTATTCACATGAGCATAAAGGACCAGGAGTCTATTCTTAAGCGTATCACCGATTTGCTGTTTGTCTCATTAATTAATTTAGGTATATGTAAAATGTATATAGACACTGTCATTATACAATAGCTACTATGTATCTTTGGCTGAAACATACCATATTCCAATAAATTATATTTAATGTCCTCCATTTCAAAGAAAAATGTAACAACTAGTTATTTAAATAAATTTTTTTTTTAGGCATAGGTCAAAGATGCACAAAGACTGACATAGAAAACCTAGTCATATTCATAAGGAAAACTCTAATAATCTCTTCCTATCTCACTGGTTTGCATGTTAAAAATCGTATTAGCTTTCGCAGTCTTTTTTCCATGAAGGAGGTAATTTTCTTTTAAAATGCTACCGAGAAACTTACTTTAAATCTGAACTATACTTCAGAACTATATAGTTCAGAAAAGTCTGTCCTGAAAATTTTAGGAGCCCTTTTATAAAGCGTTGATTGTATCAAGTTGTAGCAAGAACAGCAAAACCTGCTAACTATAGTTTCTTAAGGATAAGAATACACCACAATAACTTTGCCTGTATCTTTGACACATACAGTCGCCTCATTTGTCACTCACATCCTACTAATGGACTGGAATATATGGGCTGAATGGTTGACTAGTACATTTCTGCAGATTGAGCAGCGTAGACCCCAAAACAGAAAACTGCTCTCATGCCTTCTCTCAGCAGGGGAAATCTTTAGCTGCTCTCCTTTACCCAGTCACCAATACTGTTCCTACACCAGGCCTTGTAGGAACATCAAAGACTTCCATCCCCTACCAAGCCTGGCTGGAAATTTTGGACAGGAAAGGAAACGGCAGGGGAAACAAAAATTACAGACAGTACAATATAGTAGGTCTTGTTACCTTAGCGTATAAGCTTTACAAACAAAAGCAAAAAGTACTCTTGTTTTGGGGGATCTGGGTAAGTGATGGAATTAGTTATGACGTATGCAAACCACCTTCTTTAAGGCAAATCTGATTTAACCTACCGAAGAAATGACTAAAAATTGTTCTCTTCCAAAGGCTGCTAAAAGGATTACATGAAATCAGTTCATCTCTTGAATTTGTTTTACCCTGGACAACTGTTAGAGAAAAAGGATAAAATAGACTTTGGCACCTTTCAGTGGTACTCTAAGAGAAGGCATCAGTCTTGTAAAGCCGTCCTGCATAGATAGAAGGAGGCTCCCACTCCACTATTTACAGAAGGATGTAAAGCTAACCGAATAACTTCAGCCATCAGCTAAATATCCTTTTCTTCCCACTTTTCAGTATATCGTGTAGTTTAAAAAAACCACTAAAACAATCAAACAGATCAAATCAGAAATTACCTTGTCCAGGAAACTACTACTTCTCCCTTCTTTTTAATGATGTTTTTGGCATACAGACTAGGTGACGAGGCAGACGAAGCCAAAGGAGAAGAGTCTTTGTTCTGCTGCAATTCATTCTTCTTACTGGAACATCGTTTGGGTGCTGAATTTACCTCTTCAGGTTTCACATCACTTGCATCACCCCCTTCACCCACCAATTCAGTTTCTTTTCGTTGCCTTTTTGAGTTGGAATTCTCTCCGGCAGCCTCCTTTTTCCTTTTTTTACTAGTTTTATCACCTATACTTATCTGGCATCCTACATCAGTATTCGAAGTGGGTTTTGTTTCAAGATTACATTCACCTGCTACAGTCTCATTGGAAAGCTCTTCTGTTAAGTCTATAAATGCATCAGAGCACTCTTCCAGTTCTTCCTTTTTATCACTGTTTTCTGAGTTAGCTGTAGAAGTTTCCTGAGTCCTGTTATCTGCAATGGATTCCACTGCAAGACATGAAGTTTCACTAACAATATCATCTGTTAAGTCTATGTATGACTCTACACTGCATCCAGCAGGAAAAGAAGCTTGAGATCTAACACCCATTTCATTTATGTTTTCAGATACTTTCAATTTGTGTGTCTGAGATTGCTCAGAGCCTTCATCTGGGCTTTCAGTGTCATGGCTCTCTGTGTCTGAAGATTTTCTACAGGGTCCAGGCAACCCAGTAGCTTCTCCCTTTCCAATACTATTATGCGACTCCTTTAGAGGCTGAGGTAAGGCAGGATTTTGTTCTTGTTCAGTGCTGACGTGAGGCAACTGATCCGTCTTAACCAGATCTGGTTTGACAGTTTCCTGCACAGTGGCTGCTGTGGCACTCTGACTGTCCTTTTCTTTTTCCCCACTTCTCATTTCTTCTTTCTCATTCTTGGTTGAGGATGCCCGTGCTTCCTTCATTGAAGCCATCTGATCAAATGCTGGCGAGGTAGATGGCACCGCACGCCTAATCTTTACAATAAAATGATCATTGGATTTCTCCATGATTACTGCTTGCATTGGTAGGCTGGGGCGACACTGAAAACCGGGAACAACAGGCCGACTTGTCCATGATGAAGAACAACTTGATTTACTGCTTGAGTTATCAGATTCTAAAGCCAAATGAATGTCTTGCTCAGTGGCATCCTCCTCTTCAAGAAGTGCATCTTCACTGTAATGTGCGCTGAGAACACCCTCGGGAGTTGAGCTAGAATTATTCTCAGGTTTTAGGAAGCTGAGGTGAGCATCTGATTTCAAAGGTGATGGAATAGTTAAGGAAACAGCCAAATCTTCAAGGAGGATAGAAGAAACTAATGATTTATTCTTTTGTAAACTGCATTCATCTTCTTTGCATGAAGCTGCATTTGTAGGAACCTCAAACATACAGCTTTCATCTAGTACGTCTGGATCAACAGACGTCTGAAGCCTAGATGTTAAAGAGGGAGCTCTTACAGGTGAAACAATAGGCCAGTTAATATCCTCTACTGGTCGAGATTCCAAACAAGCCTCCTTTGGAGCAATCTCTTGCACTAGTCCGGCCGTATTACCTCTGCATTTATGACTGTCTAAAAACTGTTTTTCTGGTGTCCTGAATTCCCACTCATGTCTATCAATATTGCCACCATTTTTTTCCAAGAGATCAGAACCTTGCAATAAGCTTTTGAAAATTTCACCCATTTGAGCATCACTTACAAGATTAAATGTAAGACTGGACGCTTGTTGTTCCGTGAGAAGCTCATAACTAAGATCAGACTTGTTAGCATCTCTGGATAGCTGGAATCCTTCCTTTTCATATTTTACACCCTTCAATGGAGTGAGCGCGCCTTGCAAATTATTCTCTTTAGAGAGGTGCACTTTGGTTTGGGAATTCCTTGTGTTATCAATGGAGTTAAGACACTTTGTAAAGGCAGTTTTTGGTGCATCTGTTTTATTTTTCTCATGGTGACACTTAGGTCGTTGATAATCCACAATTTGCTTTGAAAGGATATATTCTTCAGACTTCTGAGATCTGGCTTTCAGGGACTTTTTTCTAGATCTTTGCACATCATTTTTATGACTGATTTTGTGTTTTTGTTTTCCTGCTCTTTCAAACTTCCCTTCCTCACTCTCATTTCTCACATTTAGCACATCACATAGTTTTATTGTAATTCTCCTTATCTTTTCAAATAAGTAATCAAGCTGTTCATCTACAAATTTCCATAACTGTTTTTTCATATCTGATACCTGTTGTTCAAAAAGACGGTCCACTATGGCATTCTTTTTAACTTGTTTAAGTTTGGACTCTATAATATCACAGATGTTCAATTTTAATGTCTCACCTAGTGTAGACATCTTGGAAAAGTTCAAGTATTTTATTAATGATGTAAAATTTATGATACCAGATTCTATGATTCTGTGAAAATGCTGAACTGGAAAGTGCACCTTGAACTTCATATAATTTTTCCTCATCTGCTTTCGTATAGCTCTTAGCATCTGCATGATTTCTTGTATATTTGAAGGTTCAACAATAACATGAACTATTTTTTCAAGACAAGCAATGCTCACAGTTTTATTTTTCTTCATATCCTTTGAAGATCTGAAAGTCTGATTTTTATGCCTCTCTCTGTTCTTCTTTGTACTTACTTTCACAGAAACAAATTTTCCTTTATCTTCATTGCAACACACAGTTTTGCTCTTTTGATTCTGCGGACTGCTGGTCAAATTTCGTGTCTCAGGAGAAGCTTTTGGTCTTGATTTTTTTGTCTTTTCAGAGCATCTTTCTGGTTTTGATTTTTCTTCATCTTCATCACTACTTATGATTTCTCCTTCTTCTATTTCATCTGAAGAGATACTCAGCCGGGACTCCATCTCTAAGTGTTCATCAGACATGCTAACTGGCTTTTGATTTTCCTTGTTTACCTCCTTTGACAAATTCTTTGAGGGACAGACGACAACTGCACTTTCAGGAACCAAATCTGTAAAAAGAAAACAGTTTGCTAATCACCATAAAAAATGCAATTAGAAACAGACTTTTTCAGAAAAACCTGGAAGATTCTCTTCTGTAAAGTGACCGTTCAGAACTGTTTGTTTGAAACTGCCAATGACAACTCAGGAAGTTGGAGCTATAACAAGTTTGGGTGGTTTGCTTCAGCAGCTACTAGTTTAATGGGATTTTTCTGAGCTCCAAAGGGCAAATAAGTCCTCAACATTTCACCAAAAACATGTGAACTATGTCACAAATATATCCACTGAAAACAGAAAAATCTAGCAGTTCCCGTCGGTTTTGAACTTCTTTCTATTCACTTTAACAAGTTTTCTGAACACCGCACAAGCTGAATTTTAACTTCAGCATCGTTATCGACTAACCTTTACAAACAATAGTTGGTTTTCTTTTAGCAGTTTCACAATGAAAACAAAATAAGCAGTACAAATGACCTATTAATGTTTGCATTCAACTATCTTTTCCAGGGCTGATAAAAAGGTTCTACTTCAATCAAGTCTTTCAATAAACTAACTTACTAATCAAAAAGAATACTAGGCACTGTACACATCATTATTTCCTGTTTCAGTTTTTGATGCATTTAAAACTACCAGCACTGTAACTAAGCACCACAACATAAAAAGCTTTTTTTCCTCAGAAATTTTGGAGAAAGCCTCCAGTTTAGGTTCCTGAATGACAGGTATAGGGACCGAGATATGTGAGAGGAAAGGCTAAAGTTCTGCCAAACGTAGTATGCCTTACTCTGTCTTACAAGTAAGTTTATTAAATATTTTCTATTTTTGAGGTATCATTAGATATGTATTTAATCATTCTTTAAAATTCAAACCAAATGTTATTTTGTTAAGAAAAACAAGCAATTACAGCAATAAGCAGCTACACAAAGCAGTATGTTACAAAAGATGAAAAGGCAAGCTCATTTCCATTGTACAAAAATTCCACTGAAGTGCGTATGTATTGATTAACGAGCTTTGCAGGTAATTTTAGGCTTGCTGGGCACTCTAGTTAATAAAACACTCTTAAGTTCACTTGCACATGGATTAGACTGCTTAATGACCTCTAACAAACATTTAATGTCATAAAAGAACAAATCTAAATTGCTCTCCGTAAAAAATGAACTTGCGATTAACAGTTTAAAGCAACATTTGAAAATGCTTATACAGATTCTACAAGAGCAAAAACCTATTCCATCACTGCCTCCCTTTTAGTTTTACAAGGATCAATACCTTCTCAAACTAATCACTTCAATATTTTGACAAACCAAAGTATAAAATGAAAGTGGCCAAATTATAGCATTAATATGTGTACCCCTGTGCTGCAGAACTGTAGAAAGGTGAGTACTGAATTTCAAGGCCAAAAGAAATCATAGCCTCCTGTCAATTTAACAGGTTCAGAACATCATTGGTCAGACCACAGAAACAACTAGGCATCTAACTTCAGACCTGAAAATCACTGCTTTGTTATTTAGTAGCAAGTTCTGGACAGGATGGATTCCTCTAATAAGTAACTCGGGGAAACACTACAAAATTAGAAAAATACTTTTATTTGATGTTCATCTACTTTGATCCCAAAGCTCTCGTGTCCCCCCAGATATTTCAGAGACTATAAACTGCTGTAGGAATGAAATATATACTGCTCAAGGGATTCACACTTAAGAGAGTAGCTGTCTCAAGCACAAGAGACAGAATTCCAGAGTAAACCACACTAAGATTTGCAAAAACACATAAGGATTATGCTCCAAAACATAAGAACAAGGATTTAAATGCCACTTCTACCATTCCTCTTCTAGTAGGAAAATTAAACTTCCAAGAAAACTTCTTGTTAGTTGCAGCAGGACATTACAGGAAGAGTTAAATTCCCACAAGTAAAAGATTTAAACTTTGGGTCACCTATTTTCTCTTCCTGTGAGTGCTGTCATGGTATTTTATCTCCCTGACATCTTATTTAGGAGTTAGCTCCTACTTCATTAATGATAAATTTTATCTCCCTGACATCTTATTTAGGAGTTAGCTCTTACTTCATTAATGATAAATCCCAATGTTGTATTTGTTCCAAGTTTTTCCCCACCGACTGACTCACAATTATAAAATATATCTAAAAATTCACACTGAATTCAATTCAGATGGAGAGCACAGCCTTCTCTTAGCTGACATTCCTAGAAATTAAGTCTCAGGTACTCTCTCCAGCTTTCTCACAAATAAATAATTGAAAGAATATGATCCTAAATAAATTTTGCCTCTACAATTTCAGAGAAAAACCTAATGAGATCTACTCAGAACTAACCACAATTAAGAAACCTATATGTATTTTTTTTTAGACGTTTGTAGATAACTCTTATTTCAACCACTCATCTGTCAGCAGTGACAAACTCCAATTTTTATAGCACTAACGTTCAATCGGCTACAATCTTGACTGCACTGTTAAACAGCTCCCCTATAAACAAAAAAGACCACTATAGCTTACATAGCTAAAGAAGAAACAATTTATATTTTTGAGAAAGCAGTTAAAGTCATTTCTGCCTTCCACGAATGAATCTTCTAAGCCTTCATGTAGAAAAGAAATTAGAATACACATATACAAATACCTTTGTTATAACTCTTCACAAGACCTTTGCAGGGACTCTCCATCTTAAGTGCTTTAGCCAAAGGGCGCATTGGACTGTTCAGTGGGCTGATTGCTTTTGGAATGTACCTCAAGTGATTGAGATCAATGCTCAGTATTGAGCTGTCATCATCGACAGGAACTGGGTTAGTTTCTCTCTCTTTAATTTTAGGATACATCTCACCACTAAGAGAAGATGCTGCAGTACTGATTTCAGTTAGATCCGGCTCCAGATCACAAGCATTCTGGTCAACTAACGGTTCGTCCTTATCACTTAACATAGTTCTGTCAGGTGACTGAGATGTACTCATATTAATTTCACAGATACCCTTTTCCTCAATGGGACACTCAACATTTTCTGCAGCCAAGTGATCATCGTCCTTCACTACTTCCATTAAAGAGTCCGGTTTTATTTTGCTAATATCATCTGCGACATCACAGGACTCCAGGTCACCAGAACTTTTGGCTTCCAAGTCATCTAAGACAAGGTTTTGAGAGCCACGTTGGTCTGCTGAGCTTTCTATGTCAGCAGCTAGCCAGATTTTATCTTCCTCTTTCTTCTCTGCTGCTAACTCTGAAAGGGCTCCCATACTTTCGCTGGCAGGTTCGGATTGTGCCACTTCTGCTGCTGGTACATCATCATCCTGCATCACACCCACTGTCACAGGTAAGTTTTCACACTCTGCCACACTCCCTGCCACCTCCAGGGGCAAAGGTTCAGGGTGATTCAGATCCATCACTGCCACTGCTGTTGCTGAGGCTTCTGATTCAACCAGATCACAAGCCTCTGCTGCCGCTGACGTTTCAGCCTGCATCTCATCAGGAACCAGTACCTCTGCTGCTCCTGGCAAGGCTTGGGGTTGTACCTGACCCACTTCTGCTTCTGGTAAGGTTTCTGAGCTCAGTTCATCAGTTGCCACTGCTGGCAACGCTTCAGACTGTGCTGGATCTGCTGCTGCTACTTTCAAGGCTTCATTTTCAGAATTGACAGGAATAGGTAGTGCTGGTTCCACATCGCTTTGAGCCACACTGTCCAGAACTTGTAATGTTGAGTTAGCTTGCTCTGCGGGACCACAGTTAACAGGGTGGGCAGAATCTAACGGTTCTGCCTGCAGCGTGAGCTCTGTACTTCCCTCGTCAGTGGCCTTTTGGGAAGGTGTTTTAAGTCCATCTGTTGGAGAGAGACATTGCTTCTTAGCAGGAGAAAGAGTTAAATTTAGCTTTTCCATAAAGCTAAGTTTTAAGTCTTTGCTTTTTGTCCCAGTGTGATCATCTTTAGTTTTGGAGATTTTATGGTCTTTTAAGCTATCTGCTACTCTGTATGTTTCTTCTAGCCTATAGGACTTGTTTCTCTCACTTTTTGTAATATCTGTACCTTTCTTGGATTCTTTTCCAGATTGGTGAGAAATCTCTTTTGCAACTTTTCTTTCATTTCTGAAATGTCTATTTTCATCCTGATTCTCTCTTTCTCTTTTCCTTTTTTCTTCAGTTCTGTGTCTTTCTGATTTGGAATGTGCTGTTTCCCATTCATATCTACTACTATTTTCCTTCAAGCGCGCGTGTTTATGCTCTCTGCTGTTGGAATTAGAAGGTGAAGTCCTTCCTTCTCGAGAAGTATGATCATTTGTTCCCCTGTCTCTCTTGCAGTCAATGTCTCTTCCTTTTCTAGACTCTTCCACACGACATTTACGTGATTCATGAAGATTCTTTGAATGTTCATTCTTTGAGTGTGGACTACTCCCTCTACCAGACCTCCTTGGTTGCTCTTGTAGCTTTTCATTTGGTTTATTTTTTTGGCCAGTGTTTTTTTCATCTTTATCATGTGTTTTAATGTCTTTTTTTAATAAATTTTGTGATCTATCATCAGCATACAATTCACCTCTTGTTTGAAATCTGTCTTTACTGGTAGTTTGTTTCTCCCAGGAAGAAACACCCCTTTCTACTCTTCTTTCTACACTTGGACTGCATTTGAGTTTTACGCTCTGACTTTTTTGTTGCAACTCATTTTTACTAGCCTTCTCTGAAAGGGCTTTCAGCTTTTGCGGAGGTTCTGAATTCCCCTCTTCACTATCACCAGTATTACAGTTACCATTGTTTCCGGTGCTCTGATGTACTTCTCTTTTGTATTTGTTGACGTTTCCCCTACTATACTGTTCATTACTTTTCATTTCTTTTCTTTCCTTTCTGTTATCCTTGTTGGAACTATGGTCATAGTTCGGTAGACATGTATGAGTACCATCATTGCAGAGCTCTTCAGGAGGGTATCTCAGTAAATACGGAGTGTTTCTTTTTTCGGAGCTAGACTTCCCGTTGTCCATATTATGAGATGAGTAACTATGGTATGTATCTTTTGAACAGTCATTTTTCATTCTATGCTCCATCTTTATGCTGTCACCTAAATCAGAAGGTCTGAATTTGGAATCTTTTGTTTTACACATCTCAGAGCACCTTCCATTAGTTGATCCTGGAAGGTATGTTCTGGTGAAGCTACTTCGATGATTGGGAAATTCTGATAGCCTGTTTATAAAAAGAAAAAAAGTTATGTTAGTGTTGAAATTTATTTAAGCATAACTGAAGCTGAATTGCGATGAATCCATCTCTCTCTAAAATTTTTTCATACTTTCTTTCAGCTTCAAGTTGAAAAAATGTGGGATAAAAATAGAAGTTAAATAATTTCCATTAGCACACATTAAAAGAATATAATTTGTATACGTATTTTCCAAATGAAATTAATCTAAAGAAAAGGCAAGATCTGTGGAAAAATACTGTACTGGGTCTAATTAACAATTTCAGTAATTCAAATTAGTACTTCATTGTCCAGCAATAAAGAGAGCCTTCCCTTAGGAAAAAAAAAAAGTTGTTCTTTACAGCATTAGTAATTTAAAAAAATAATAATAAAAAGAGCAAGTCAATAGTTCACTACTTGATAAACAGGCAACCAAAAGAATAGGTATAATGTGACTGTGCTTACTCTACGCAATAAGCAAATAAGCTACCACATTTGGAACTTGCTGCAAGCTACGGAAAACAAGTAGTAAATTACAATAATCAAGCCTTATCAAGGCCATATGCTACTGCAGCAAGGTCATCATAATAAAAAGAAAAAAATTAAGTTAAAAAGGGCACATGTAGCCTGTATGGCCTGAAATCTTACTCGTTACTGATAGAACTCATCAAAGTTACCTCACCAGGAAAAAAAACGAACCAAAACAAAACAACAAAAAACCCCAGACAGACACTCTTCTGCCATATTCAACCCAACATGTCATTAAAATGACATGGTTACAGGCAATGGCAACCTTCTTAAATACTCTCCACTATCTCAAAAGAATGATTGTGTCTAACCGATGCATAAGTAAACAGAAGTAAAAGTCATACCACCAAATGATGGCAGCAAACCACCAAAGTATGACTCCTTTTTACAGGGTCAAGGATGAAGGGGCTGCTACACACAGGCATTTGGTTTTGGCCCGAAATTCTGTGTTGATTCAGTGTCCAGCTGTAAGGAATCCGTTCAAGTGTAAAGTAATTCTGTATTTATGTCCAATACAAAATGGGGTTGGTTTTGCTTTATAAAACTGAACACTTCCTATGGGCCAATACAGTAAATTTAAATATGTAATGATCAGCTTACACAACTGGCTGTACTCCAGAAATGTGACCTTGTGATGTGAACTGAACGTTGAACTAAAACAATGCTGCAGCTGTTGTAATACAAAACCCTTTCCTGTATTTCCATTTAATTTTAACTATACTGACAAGTTTTCGCTGTGCTTTAGGCTGGCTATTAAATCTGCATATGTGTGTGATGAATGTAATTGTATCCAAGTGGAAATTTTGGGTTTTTTAGTTTGTTTTGATTTTTTTTTCCTGAGATAAGCACTAACAATTTCCCTCAAAGATATTATCTTTGAAGCAGTCTTTACAGATAGGTAGATTGCTTAAGATGAGCTAATTTATTATAGGCCATGCAGCAGACAAGGCATGCTTCTAAGACCTCAAAGTGCCACTTTCCCCACAGTTTTCCATGGTGGATGCCTCCAAAATACCTAGATCAAATACCTTGTTCATAAATTTTTATCACCATCAGAAGGTATTGCAACGGAGTTTGGAAACTCTTTAGTGAGGGCGAGTATTCAAAACAAGAAAATATTTTTCAAACAATTTTATTTAAAACCCAGACTACTACACTCAAAGGTGTGAAAATGACAGCTATCATGTCAAAGCCAATCAGCTGGAAGAGTTACACATGTTAAAACCTCTTGACCTCCATCAGATCATATCTGGTAATTTTCAGTATTTAGGGAAAAAAAAAATAAATCACAGTTAATATGCATATAGCCTCTAGCACAGCAACGTCAAATGAACCTTCTCCTCTATGACACCTTTTGGTGCAAGAAAATATCAAATGGTCAAACTGAAACACAAACAAACTAAGGATGTGGCTGATGTCACAAAAGTGACAAGCAGGTGACCTTGTGATAAGCTAGGGGTCCTGAATCTTGGACCCCTGCTCTGGCTTCAAGCAGTTCAGAAACCTTAAACTCAGCTACTCTCCCATGCACACTTTAATATTTTCAACGCCTTGCAGTAAGATTAGTAGTACACAGAAATTACCAAGTATTCTCTAGCTGCTATCCCCCACCATTGGAAACAGGGCTTTTGTATCTTGCCATGAAAACACCATATAGTCTCTTTATTTATTTTCATCTGTTGTCTGCAAAGTTCCATGGAATTCATGTCTGAGACCATAAAATAGACTAGTTCTGAAGCTGAACCGTGTAAGATAGTATCTGCTTTGAAACATGCAAGATGGTTAGATAACCCACCAGGAACGGGTGATTAAACAAAACAAATGAAAAAAGAATTCAGGCAAATGGTTACCCTTTGGATTCCTCGTTTTCTTAATTAGAAACCAAAGACCTCATCAAGCAAAGAAGATACATACCTATTTCCTCTGATTGTACCAGTACTAAACCACACAAACAATTATTTACTAAGTAATGATTTTCTTCATTAGTTTTACTTACAAGTATATAAACATGATCAGACAAAAAAGCATGTTTGCAGTTCCACTATCTAGTTGTACCTTTGATGGAGATTACTGATTTCTTCATCCTTACGGTTAATTTCCACTCTTGCTGTTTTGATAAGTGCTGAAATATTCTTTTTTAGAGCTTGGTTTTCATTCTGTAGAATGACATTCTATTTTAAATATATACAAAAAAGAGAGCGGGGCGGGGGGGAGAGAGAGGGAAAAAAAAGAGAATTAGCTTGGGTATCCAAACACGTAATGAAAAACAGTGCAAGACAACCATTAGAAAAAGTCCCATCATATGCAAACTGACAGTAGAACATACAGAAACCATTTAGGAGAAGTCAGAATTAAGTCAGAATTATTGAGATCCAAAGGAACTTTAAAAAAAAAAAATTACTCATGTTTATGCTCCTGTTTGTGTTCCTGGTAATTATCAAAGATGTTTTAAGCATACACTTTATTAGAACTGAAATATGCCACAAACCAAATAACCATAGAGCTAAAAAATTATAATCTGCCCCTTTGCTTCATTCTTTTTCTCAATTTATTGCTTTCCTGGTCACTGTGTCAAATGAGAGATGTAACTTCTAAGCACTTTCAGAGAAACAGGGTAATTGTGTTTCTTTCAAGGTATCAAAACTTTGGGTGCTGTATCATTCTAACATTTCTAGATGTGATGTTCTAGAACCCTATCTGTCAATCCTGGAGATAGCCCCTTCTCTTAATAATTGTCCTCAGCAAAGCCTGCTCAGAAAGGCAGACAAGTTTTGCAGAAAACAATACAGAAGTGTCACAGGGCGGAAGCTGCTTACCGTTTCAAAGCTTAGAACCTTTGGGACTTATTTGTAATACACACTAGAGCATGTTGCAGAATTGCCCAAGATAAACAAACTATATAGAATGGCACAGCATGGGGATACTAGCTCAAGTTGAAAAGCAGTTCAGCCTTATCAAAATGGCACTATGCTCAAAGCAACGCAGACATCCTCTTCCAGTTCTTAATGACAGCTCAGATACCTTTGCAACACTCTCCCTAGTGCATTAGACCTATTTTTTAAAAAACGAGAGGACTGGATACCTTTCTGATAACTATTCAATTAGAAAATAAGCATGTCAAATAAGGAGACAGAAGATAGCTTTTAAGCAACTGAAGTATTACTGCACGCAACATCACGAAACAAGTGAATTTACCTACTGATTCTGTCAGTAGGCTATCCTAGCAACTATCCTAGGCAGAACAAGCTCCTAGCACCTACAGAGGTGCTTTACAAACCATCCACGTGATGGATTAATTCTGGAAAGCATATGAAATTAACTCTCTCTCAAAGCAATATTCAGTTTGCTTTACATAAATCTTGACAACGTTGCCTGTTGAACTACAGTACCTGTGCCTGTATTTCCTTAAATTTCTTCATCAACTCTTTAATTTGCTGCTGACATTTTCCATATTCTGCCTGCAACTGTCAAAGAGAGGATTCACAGCACAGAAGTGGACTTAATTACACAGAAAAGTTACTCCACCAGATTTATAGTTAATTAACACAGTAATGTATATTACAAAGCTGTTTTTTTCCAAAAGTAACATATTAAAGCCATATTAAAACAAAAAGCTTCAATATTGTCCAACAGGTATACAAGTCTCTAAAACATCACAAACACTTAGGTAAGAGGAAATCTACGTGCGCTTGCCCAACAGTAATAGGCTAGAGAGTAACAGGAAGCCATATTATTGTGAAATTAAAGACACAATTATCGAGGAGCAGGAGTTCTCAGAGCCCTACAGATGGAGACTTGTTTGTCAGATTTTATATAATACAAAATAGTTAAGGAAAAACACAACAAAAAGTTACTACAAACAAACCTGGACTGCAAAAATAGACTGCAAAGGACATGCTCCTGTTGAGATCACAAAATTAAATAAAATACATTTGGCATGAGCCCTTCTTTAGAAATAGATGGTGACAAAACTTTCATAGAAGAATGGACAACTTCCCTATTGTCATACTTAACAGTCAACTGCTTTCAAACTTTCAAAGTGACATTTCCATCACTTAGTAGACTCCTGGAGGTTTTGCTCCTGCTTCTTCTATAGTGCATTATATCTGTGGATGTCTGTCCCTTTTACTCCAAAGCTCAAGTTAGTTAAGGCGTGTCTTATGGATCAGGACAGGTGATGCTACATGCGTAAGTGTTCTGCTGATTTGCTAGAAGCAGTTATCTATTGCGTGGTTGTCTTCAGCCTCAAGGACAAAATTTAATGACACATAAGATTAATCCACGACCTATCTGCTTTAGTCTGGTAAAATTTGTTGGGAGAAACGTCATGACTAGCTTTGTATCAGATGTCTGAACAGATATTTAACTAGAAGGAAATTACAGTACACTTTCCCATAATGTAGCTGATACATGAACTGCATGCAAAGGACGTTAAATGAGAACAGACCATGTCACAGAGTGAGAGATTCACTTACTCTGATAAACTTGTTGACGTAACAGTTTATTAGCACACTCTTGTTTTCACTTATTTAAAAAGTTTCCCTATTTTTCCAATAATGTGAGCATACCGACAACATTTTTTGCACTTTACACAAGAAAATTTGGAACAAAAAACCTCCAAAACACCAGAATTATTTTTGTCACATTAATACACACCTCGTTGTAGGATGCTTCTTTTGCAGTCCCTTCTTCAATTAATATCTCATCAAATAAATTTAAGCTGTTTCCAGCTGGTGTAGAATTTGGAGCGGAATTGTCTGTAGAAAGAAAATCAATTACATAAAGAAAAAGGTGTTTTTCTAGCCGGGTTGCATTGTGTCACTGAGGAAAACACATGACCTTATCTGGAGAAATTCCTATCCTGAATTTCAACATCTATGTTAGTTTTATTGGAAATACTTGATCCAATTTACATCGACATAAAAGGTAACGATGCAAATTGAAGTTCAACTGAAAACATTGTGTTAGAAAAATTAAGAGATATACAGGACACCTAACAACGAAGATGGGTACATTTTATGACTGTCTAGTAAGTTGTTTTACGTCGAAGGAGAGCTAACTCACAGTAAATCTACCTAATTTACAAAGCAAGAAGGGCTATACCTTAGCAGTGATCTGAAGTTCTGCAATTCCAGAGCCAATAAATAGCAGAAAGCTAGAATAAATATGTGCATCCTACCATTCCTTCAGCTTTTGGCCAGACTTCACCTTGGAAACATTTGCAGTTGAAAAAAAATTACTGAGAAAAAGAATGCTCAGATGCCAATGACGTACACATTCACAAACATCGATCAGTTGATCAGAATCAAATGGAGTTACTGTAGAGTTGGTATGAGGTTGAATACCATGATTCTTGTGTTGAATAAATGTTCTCTGCTTCTTTATATTCCCTCACAAACGTAAAATCCCTAGCTTTAGTTCCAAAGAAATGAAAGAAAAAAACCCAAACAAATCAAAAACCAACCCAAAACCCAAACACCCCAATTATTTAGATTACGGTGCGTTTTCCTCAAATCAACCTGTGTGCTCTGTTCACCAAATACGCATTACTGACAGGACCTGACTTACACCACCTCTGAAATACAGATTCATTTGCAGACAAATAAATGAAGTTAGCTACCAAAGCTGCGCTTCAATCCTTTGGACAATACCATAATGCAGAGAGTATTATTAACACAATGCAAGATGACATGCAAATAACATCTTATCTGTAGAGAGCAAAAATCTCACCAATCATCTTTTCAAATTTAAAAAAAAAAATCCCTCAGAACTAGACTACATAAAATGTTTGTATTGCATTAAGTTATTCCTCCTTGCATCTTTTACATTTACTAAACAATGCATCTCAGTATGTGAAATACAGACTTAGTGAATACTCTTACGTGCTGTAACAAACACAAAATGGAAAGCAAGAAAAAGATGCATAGATGCTTTACGTCTGTAGGATATAGTATAGTCCTTCCATAAAAATTCAACGGCCTTACAGTAGTAAGATCAGTAGAGAAACACTTGTTCAAATACTAGAAACAGCATTTCATTAAACCGTACACTAAGACTCCTAAAAAAGAACACTTGCTGGGTCCATTTCTTTCTTACCTTCAAAGAAGTTAAAAGAGGAAATTAATTTACATTAGCATGTGAAATTACTGAGAAAGTACCAAAAGGTTAAAAGGATCTACTGAATGTACTGTATCACACAGAAAGTATGTTTTGGAGCACTCACTGGGGATTTAGTGATCAGTGACTGTTGCTTCTGGTCCTGAAGGTATTTAAAAACCACAAAACAAAGGTGCTTTTTCCAAGGTAAAATGTCCTATATCAAGACACAGATAGAATAGCTATGGTTTCTCTGCATCCCTTTATATGCCCAAGTCTCTTAAAATAGCCACAATCACAGGAAAACTATCCTATAATCATTCAACCAATAGATTTAAGAATTCTCTGCTGTATTTATACAGAGTGTAACATATATGTCTTGAATTTAAACAAGTAGCTCACTGAAGCATATGTTACACCAGCTAAATGTAAACTTAAAGCTTACTGTTGTTTTACTTGAAACCAGCCTAAGAAGCCCAGAGACCCTATAATGCTCCAAGCCAAGCAGGAGGATACAATCAACCTACCAGGAACTGTCAAACCATTGTCCAAGCCATCATAAATATCCACTGAGCTCTCATCACCTTCCTTGAAGGGGGAAGCTTCAGCTAAAGCAAAAAAAAAAAAAAAAAGGCCAAAGTAAACATTCAGTAAACTCCAACCTCTAACTTTCCCATAAAGTAAGTGTAGCTGTCATCCTAGACCAGTAGAGAGTAGTAAAAGTAGTAGAGCACAGACTTGTAAGAGACGGGAATTTTACCCAGCAAGCTACTGCTGCTGTGGAGAAAAGATCTTTTAGTCACCAGGGAGCAAAGACAGTCTTGCAAAATCAATTCCTAAATACTACGAGAACTGTGCATGAAGCAAATTATATGGCTTTAAATACAAATAAAATTTAAAATTATAAACTAAGTCAACTTGATCTGAATTTAAAACTGTTTTCTAGAATACACTGAATACAAAAGTTACAGAACTTGGAAACAAAACCAAAAGAATTATGATGATTAAACCACCACTGCTAAAAGAAACATTTCTCGCTAGACAGAAAGTATTGTAACAGTCTGTATCACAATTCAAAGAATTTGCTTTAGCATTGCCATCTATTCACACACTAACCGGTTCTGTAAAAGTATTTTAATCTACATCTCCTCAGTCTCTCTTCGTGTCTTTTTCCAATGCCTCTTATTACCCTCATCTCCTCTAGGTGAATCTCTCCAGCTCTGCAACAAATATTATTGCTATAAAGAAAAATATCAATATCCACAGTCTTTCTGAGGCTGGGAATCTCACAAATACACGTCAGATCAATCAACTGCGGAGCTGGAAATAACATTTGAGTACCCTGATTGCTGGTACTACACCAGATGATAGCGCATTTGCTCTTACAAATAGCAAACAAAGGAAGAATCCACCTAACCGTCCAAATACACGCTTCATTAAGATACAGCGAAGGTTAAATTATACACCGTAAAACACGGGAAGAGACAGTTCCAGGCATCCCCTCAAACATCTAGAGGGGATGGATACTAGAAATCCAAAGTACACAGTTATGGTTTAAAATCCAAACTTACTAATGGGATATGGCTTACAATGATACTGTGCCACAGCCATTTAATTACACTTGAGGCTCATCAGCGTTTGTCCCAATTTAAGTTGTTTCCATTTTGTTTTCTAAGTTATTTTTGGACCTGTTTATCTTCATAAGATCGCTTGTGTTATTTCACTGCAAAACGAAAGTAATGTGTAACACATCTTACCACCGTAGCGGATATCAAACAGTCCCAGTCCATCCTCATCTGTTGCCATGATACAAACTCCCTATGGCTTCCCCATCTATGAGTAAAGCATCAGAGGAAAGACAACAGATTAACTGGCAATTTCAGAACACTGTGAAACAGAAGCATCTTGCACCTGAGCTACCTGTGGCCTTCGCTCTTCAACAAAATCCAACACCAGAATGAGAAAACCCTCACATCGAGATAACAGACGTAGAGCTCTATCGAGAAAAGTAAGAAATTATCTGTCCTGTAAATAAGCATTCTGAAGAAGATCTTCAGCTGTATCTTTTATTCGTACGTACAAAATAAAGATCCTATAAAGAAATTTTGGTATGAAAACAAGCACTGCATTCTATGAACAGGTTACCCGAATGTATATCTTACCCAGTTAAAATAATCTGATCTGGTAACTCCGATTTCTTCTCCGCTGACCATTTAAGAGCAAGTTTCCCCTCTCTGACCCCACCAGCCAAACCAAGAATGAGAGGCAGCAGGCAAGAAACCTTTTGCCTGCCACGGCGAACAGCGATGCTCGCCCACGGGACGCACAGCATCCCCCACAACAGCTCTTCCAGAATGACTTCACAAACACTCACGCTTGTGGCACTGACACACAAGCACCTCTGAAGCCAGAGCAGCAGCCTGCGACACCAAGGCACCCGCCGCGTGGACAAGAGCACAGGAAAAAGCTGGGGCGT